TTTAGAAGTAATTATTTTATGATCAATCATCCTAAAAAATACGAAGTTTATTACAAAGCAAAAAAAATTTATTCATTAGTTCCTGAACAAAAAAGATATACTGTTCTTAATTATGATAAACCCGATAATATTAAAATATATGAAATAGAAAAACGTCTCAGAAAAGCGATTAAAACAATTATTAAATCAGAATAGTTATGTAATCTTATTTAATTTAGTTAAAATAAATAAATAAAATTTTTTTTAAAAATAAAAATTTATTGGTGCTGCAGATAAGAATTGTTGCCTTTTGTGGATTGATTAAAAACCAAGATAATTTGTTGCAGCAAATAGATTGTATGAGATTGCCTTTTATGGTTTAATTTGTTTATTAAATACGCAGTCACAAATAAGATTGTATGATATTGCCTTTTGTAGATTGATTAAAGAACTTTCTCATGTAAATAAAAGATTGTATGAAATTGGATTGATTTGGTTTAAATTGTTCGCAGAAATCAAAAACAAATAAAAAAAATGATTAAATTTTTAATTGGTTCGTTTAAATTCGTTTTATATTCGTTTCTTTTTGTAACTCGTCTAAACTTTAAATTTCTTTAGACTTGCATCTGAAAATTACTATGTGGAATATGCGGCTCAATGAAATATTACGTAACTTTTATGCTCTTTATCAGAACTTTAACAAAATAATATATTTGATATTGTTCAAACAAACAAATATAGTAAAGTTAGAACAAGATATTGACCGTTCTTTATCTTTATTAAATATTAAATACGATAATAATATTAACATAAATCAAAAAATGAGTTTGCTAGTTAATGCATGTAATGTTATTTCTAATATAAAATAATTTAAAATTAAATAGTTTAAAGATATTAACAAAATGTCTAAAAGCACTGAAAATAAACAAAAAGCTCTTCAACTACCAAGTAAAAGTGGTTCAGAACAAGTTAATCGTATTCAAAGAGATTTTAACCGTTTGACTAACAAAATTAGTAAATTAAAAAAAGAAAATGAAGAATTAAAAAAAAATAATTCCGAAACTTTGGAAAATGAACTAAAAAAATTGAACAACAAGTAGAAAAATGCTTGGATGCTTTACGTGCTGAATATAATAAAAACGCTGCCTTAGACCAAAAAATAAACAAACTATTTGAATTATGTAAAGAATTCGGAGAAGAACTTTCTACCTTTAGAAGCAAAAAACTCGTCAAAAAGAAAACTAATATTTTACAAACTTAGAAAAATATTATATTAAATTAGTTTAAATTTTTATTTTAAATATAAATAAATTCAATAAAGATAAATTGTTTCGTTAAATTTTTATTAAAATAATAAAATAAATGTCGTCAACTCCACAATCCAGAGTTTTAAACAGTTTAAAAGCTCTTAAAGATGAAAATGAAAAATTAAAAAAACAATTAAATGAAAAAAACAATTATAATAATACACTAAATCAATAGTTAGAAAACTGTAATAAAGAAAAAGAACCATTAAAAAACACAAACGATAAATTAAATCAAGAACTAGAAAAATGTAATAAAGAAAAAAAACCTTACAAGATAAAAATAAAAAACTCGAAGATGAAATTAACAAACTAAAAGAAGACCTGAAAAAATGTAAAGAAAATGAACCAAATAAAAACCCCATAAACAAAAATAAAGATTTAAAAGAACAATTAAATAAATATAAAAAAGATATCGAAAACTTGAAAGAAGGGATTTTAGTGTTAGAAAAGGCGGTTAAAAAATGTGCTGATTTTTACACAAACTTAGATAAAAAAATAAATATTATATTAGATAATTTTATTGTAGAATATATAAAAACTAATGAATTAGAATCTAAAGTAGATAAAATAGTCATAGTCAGTGAAGAAATAAAAAATGTTCATTAGTATAAATAATAAATAAATAAACAAAATATCAATCTCAGATGAAATAAACAGAATCGTAAATGAATTAAAAACTCTAAAAGATAAAAATAAAACCCTTATCGACGAAAACAAAAATCTACAAGATATCGACGAAAAATGTAAAAAACTCACTAAAGAAAATGAAAAACTCTTGAAAGAAAACAAAGAACTAACAGAAAAAAACGATGAGCTTGTTCTCAAAACATACGAAAATAATAATTTATTCTTTTACGAAGAATTGAATAAAGGACTAACAGAAACATTACAAAACATAAATAAAAAAATCAACAATAGTTTAAGTTTATTAAAAATTAACTTTTCGAATTCCGACGAAAATAAAATAAATAAAATCATTTTGGCTAGTAAAAACCTCAAAATAATTCAAGAATGATTTCTGCTCAATTACAACAAATACAAGAAGAAATAAATAGACTAAAAAAAGAAAACGAAAAACTAGAAAACGAAAATAATAAAATACTAGAAAACAATCAATATGAAAAATTATTAAAAAGAAATCAAGAACTAAAAAAAGAAAACGAGGTTGCTGTTTATCAAAACCAAAGATTGACCGAAAAATTGGAACAAATAAGAAAAGAAATCAACGAAAAAGAAACTGAATATAATAAAAAAAATAAAATATTTAATATTTTGAACGAAAAAATAGATATTATATTAGATAATTT